TTATTATTACATTTTATGCATAATCTATGATCTCCTCTAAAGGTGAGTTGTGAAATTAATGAACGAATTTTCAAATACAAAGATTTCTAGTGTTGTTATTGTTGATAATGTATGTATAATTTTATTTTGAGTAATGAAAGTGAAAGGAAGTGCATACTCTATAGAAATTTGAAAAAGTTCATCTAGACATAATTTATACAAGTTCATTTGTGATTTAAACAGTCATTCCAATCACACACTCTATTATTCGAATTGATTGTATCCAAAAAGTTTACTAAGACTGTTAGTGATTCTCATAAGAAGTGATTGTTTTGAATTAATGAAGTGAACACAGAGAAGACATAAGTGGTAGAGACACCTCACTGACCAACAATAACAACAGCAAGCACCAATCACTCTCAGTTGAATAGATTTGAAGGAGATCACTCCTTTCACTCATTTAGGCAGCATTGTTTAAAATATTTGTGGAGTGCTCCGATGGGGATCTCAAAGCCAGAATTAGAAGAGAAAGACAAACCTTAATCGCTCTGAAATCGGTTGGTAAATCTTCTGTTTCTTTGCACCGTAAAGAACATTAATGTCAAGTCAGTTCTTCCTTAAGAGTTCATAGACTTTCTGAGTCACTTAGCGCATTTCTAACAGGCCAATTCAGATTCCATATTAGTTTGTTTATTAGATACATCACACAGTGATGAAACAGTATTATATACTGGATGACAAAGTTACAAACACAATCTATTATGGTTCATAATCATATCAATTGTAATCACACGACTTCGAAACTTGAGTTGTATAATTTTCTTTCTTCTCTCCCATTTGTCATCGTTGGATTAGTAGAAATTTCTAGATATCTAGGACAGGGAATGAAAACACGTGTAACAAAAATGATTCAACACCTGTCCACCCAGACGTCTGGAAAATTCTACTTCTCCAAAGACGACAAACAGGAGAGAACAAAGAATACTAGACAACTCAAGTTTCGAAGTCGTGTGATTACAATTGATATGATTATGAACAATAATGAATTGTGTTCGAAACTTTGTCATCCAGTATATAATACTGTGTCATCACTGTGTGATACATCTAATGTACAATCTAATATGAAGTCACTTACTACCACAGTACCCAAGTTTTACAAATATATTAAGGCCAATTCAAACTTTTATCAACAACTGCTTCGGGTCCATTCTGAAGATCAGATGGTCAGAAAGGATTAACAACAACGAACTATGCAGTGCAATGATTTAAACACGAAACTATTAGCCAACAGACATAACGAAGAAAAATGGAAATGGATCAGATGTACGCTGAGTAGACTGCCCAGCGACTAACATAGCGCTGCAAGCCCCACAAGTGAAAACAGAATGGGAAACTGTGATTTGAGTGTCCAAGAGTGGTATGCAAGAGATCGTGTTAGGATGAGGTGATAGATGATGGACAACCTCTTAGCCAGCTAAGGAGGACTGGAGATAAGAGGCGGGAATGGAAATTCGCTGTTGAGGCCCTAAGTTCTACTAGGAAACCAATAGAATAATGATAAGTTACTGGATAGCGACCAAATAACAATGTCTAGTACTCTGAACGAAATCTTTTCTTTGGTTGTACACTGTAGACACAACCACATATTGATGAATGAAAGAAAAGTGTACCACAGTTTACAGTAGTTCTGTGTTATCTAGATTAGTTTTGACGTTTCATATAGATACGGGTAGGCATTTTTGAATCTCACTGTACAGTATTAGTGTAATTGATATACATCAGAATTGATAGAAACTTATAGAATACAATTTAAATGAAATTTTGATAAGATCAGTGAGTCATATGAGGCGTTTCACATAAACCTGGAGTATGGTAACCTGCTGCTTACGAGATTTTTTAAAAACCCTTCTACTGCGTACTTCAACAAATGACATTTACTGACCGTTTTGGAGGATATTTTTTATCGTCTGTGCATTTCTCTTCATACGACATGTTCATTCGGAATTACTTCCCGTTACCAGAAAAGATGTCATTATGAAATGATATGATTTAAGAGGCAAGTGAAAACCAAGGAGTAATTGGCAGGTGTTTCGTCCTGGTTTTGTAATCCTCCTCATCAGTTCGGAACCACGACCAAGTCAGTGATAGAAACCAAGACCTTTGAACTTTGTGATAAACACGTTAACCATTCAGACACTGAGACAGAATTCAATAATTCATGATTTCGATATCTGATTAGCCCTCAGCATGGTGCTACCTTCCAAGAAGTACTACCGTTAAGCATCTACTTCAGAGAGGACGTATTGAACCTAACTGGCAACGCATAATCCTTAGAATTCCACGACATCCATTCAATAGTTAACAATGCAAAGGCGAGGATTTAAATTAGTTTCATAGCAGGTTTCATAACGAAATCACACCAAGTGACTCATTTTGTAACCCAAAGGTTTTAGGCACATTCTCTGTGATATTCATGAGTGAGCATTGATGAAGATTCTTGAACTTGAAGAAGACAGCTGTCAAGTGCTGTTTGATTTTTAATGGCTATCTAATTGATGTCATCGCATGAAGCAATCTGAAGTAAAACTAGTTGAAGCAAAAAATTTGAATTTGTCATCTAAGCAAGTGACTGATCGATATCAGTTAGAGAACCATTGGGAATCAGGAAGTACAAGACAGCTGTTTCATCGTAGTTCGGGAATCATCCCTGGTTTTCAATGGTTCTCTAACTGACATCAATCCATGATCACTACATAAAAACAAAACTAATCCTTACAAACCAACTAAAGAAAAGACTTATTAATGGAATAAAGTACAACTTGGTGGTGGTTTTAGTTTCTTGAATCTGACACACTTCAAAATAGCAGCGTAAAAAGGGACTAAAAGGAAATAGAATGATACGCCAATCAATGGACTTGTATGGAAAACATAATCCCAAAAAGGATACTGTAAATTGCAATTGAGGAGATTGAAATAGTTGAATGAGTCGAACAAGCTTTATAACAGTGACAATGTAGCTTACGGTGAAGACAAGCATTGTCTAAAGGCTTTTTACTCCTTCCTGTTCCCAGTGGAACATAGGGCTTCAAGCTAGAGGCTTGAAATTTCTGTAGCAGTGTTTAGTTTTACAGAATGGGGTTTCTAGCCTCATGCCCAACCTTTCCTCTTTGGCAGCTTTATTTCTGTCTGGCGAGGTAAAGGAGGTAAAGCAGTGTGTCGGTCGGGGATTGAACCTCAAACACGGGAATGATTGAGGAGCATCCTAACCGCTGTGCCACCGATGCATCTAGAGGTGACTGCCTAAATTAGCGTAGAGTAATTAAAGGATTGAAAAGTAACATTATGAAGCTTTAGAATTACTATTGTAATATTTCACAACAATTAAGTTTTTTGAGTTACTAAATAGTGGAGTTCATACACAGCAAAAAGAAACTAGTGTCATATGAAGATCAAATGGGCAGAAAGAATTAGGAACATGAAACTACGGGAACAAATCAACCATCAACCTATCACTCAAAAATATGTTAGGGGATATGGAGACGGATTGGACTGCTATTGAAGACTTTTGTTCCACTTGCAACGAAAGAGAACAGTAATGGTAATAATGCACCACTATCCATCTTGATTAAGAAGAGAAACATTTTTTGATGTGAGCATAGTTCATCGACCTTAAATCGATAACTGCTATTTAATTGTCAGTTTGAACTATGTGTGGTTGAGGTGTAGACTGTCTGAATGAATGATTGAATGGACTCTAAAAATCAACTGTTCAAAACTATTATCAATGGAGCAGAGTCCTTCACTCCTCATGATCACTCAGATTCACTCAGTTCTCATTATTCTCTATGTAATTATACTTAACGTTTTACATTTCTCTTTATTTGTATTTTCTGCACTCAACATTTATGTGTGTTTTTTGATTTGTCGTGACTTCAAATGCTCATACTTTATAGCCATGTTCTACGTTAATAGTTCAGGACGGTCATTTTGAAGTTAGACAAAATCAGAATGATTGATTTTTAGTTTGTAAGGATTTTTTTCGATTTTCAGAGGAAGTTCATCACATACCGATATGTGTTAGAAAATCATTGAAAATCAGGATGAAACGCATGAGAATTTTTTTTAAGTATTGGTTTTGTTTGATTGCATGGAGGATTTCATCATGAGAACCACTGGAAAACCTGCAAGGAATATTGGACAGCTGTTTCGTTAGCATAGTTTGGGAATCATCGGCAGTAGGCACCCGCCCAGGACCTTCTGGTTACAAGGCGAGCTCGTAGGCCGTTGGGCCACTGGGACCCGATTCAATGGTCCATGAATCCTAGCGTTTGCCAATTCACGATATAGTGCGACCATTGCGCAATGTCTTCTTCCATGAGTTACTGCTTCATATTTTTGTTAGGGATCCTCAGAAATAGATACCTATGACGTCATTGGGAATCGAGTTCACAGCCTTCCGATCACGAGACTTGCACTTTACCTTTCAGAAAATGATTCAGAATTAGGTGACTAATCCATTTCTAACTGCTGCTAATTCATGATGATGATGGTGATTACTGATGAAATCGCCTCAGAAATTATCTGGAATATAACAGTTAAATTTGAGTCAGTGTGTAGTGCAAGCAATCAGAGAATGTTAACACTAAATAATACTAGAGATAGATAAGTTTTGAATGACAACTTATATCTGAAATAGTGATTGGACAGCTAGTGTTGATTTGCATTATTCTGACTAGTTCGTAATCTCTGAATTTTACTAGGAGAATTCTTAGAAAAAATTATTTAGTATTTATTTCTTCTTGAAGATGTTCTCAAACATTCCCTTAACTGACGACTCAAAAATGTAGTTAAATCTTGGGAAATGTAGTATAATATTTGAATGCAGATTACCTGATGGCTTCTAGAATTTTAAAGGAGTGGAAATGGAGTGAATACTCTAATGGAAACTGTTTGAGTAATTCAACAATTATTTAAAAAATGAATTCAATCAAGCTAATATATAATTTCACTGAGAAACTTACTGTATCCAATAATCTGGTCGTATGGAGGCTGGTTCCAATTTATGCTCAAATTTTTGTAATGATTCCATTTTTGATTTACTCTCCATAACTGGACCTAGACAACATCGTTGAATATCCAATCCAAGTGCTATCCCCCAATCGTCTAGCTCTTTTTCTACAAGAGGTCCACACATTCCTTGTGGTAGATGTAATTCCCCACGACGTAGATAACTTAATATAAATCGAAATACTTCAGGATCTCGTTCAAAAAAGTATTCACGTGTTTGTGCAACCCATATAGCATCTTCTAACATTTTACCATAGACAAAAGGATCACGTTTCAATGTACTATGTCTTACATGAAATACTGTCCCACTAACATTAAGTCTTACAAGCACTGGAGTATTTGCAGATCCTGTACATGTTTTAGATAAATTATCATTTTCCATATATTGAAGAAATTTTACACGATTTCCATAATTATTTCCATCATATTCACATGTATCTTGTTCATTCGCTGATAATCCTGCTGTCTGCATTATATCCGGATAGAAATCATACTCGCCTTCCATAGAGACATCAGCTATTGATGAATTACATCCTGATGGATGTCCCACATCGAATCGACCAAAATGATCTATAATACTTGGTTTAGTTTCAAATCGTGTCAACTGATCAGCTTTTGGCGCATTGGATTGATTGCGTAATTTTGATTGTAAATTTGTAACAAATGTTGACACTGGTCGCCAAACACCAAGACGTCGAGCTTTTTCTTGTGGAATTGATTTTTTTCCCATTTGAAATTGTGACATATAACTTGATGAGTCAACACATGATTTTGAACGTTTTGTTCTATTACCATCTGTTCGTTTCTCAGGATTCGAGGACGATTCATCAATTTGAAAGTCACTGCTATTTAAACCATTCAAATGACTTCCGTATAGTTGTTTAATTTGATTAATTTCATTACATTGATTAGCATCATGGGTACAATCACAGTCATCCTCATCACTATTCATGATTATTTTTGTTGTTGTTGAAATGGATTAAACATTCAATAATTTATTTTTGTTTGTTTGAAGTCGATGGAAGCGGGAAATTTGAATGTTGTCCGTATAAGATCTATAAAAGCCGCCTTTATTATCATTAAAACCAAAAATGATGGAGCACAAATGAACACAAATATATTCGCGCCCACACACTCCCAAATAAATACATGCAGACACTGTTTCGATGACCTTGTCTTCTCTTTCTTCTTACGTCTTTGTAGAAATGCACATAACTGAGTTAGGAATGTTTATATTTCATTTGGAAAGTCAATAAAGTGAAATTACTTTATTACTCATTTATCATTTGTGAAATTATCAATTCCAGCAGTAAGCATGATTTGTGCATAGAGGTTATGGTTCGTGTTATTGTGTGTGTGTTTGTGCTAGTGAGGCTTACTTACAGACTATGCTTGAAACAAAAGATATAATTCTCAATTATTGACGAATTTGTATTGTATTGTTGTCGGTTGTGTTGTGATTGCAGTTGCAGAAATAAAATAATGAAAGTAGCGCATTAGTAGTGATAGTTGTAGTTGTTGTTGCTCTTGTTGCTGTAATGGTTCCATCAATCAGTCTTTTAAAAGCATTGTCTAAATTGATTTATCAATGATCAAAACACTAGGATTGTGCTCTTGTGTTTGTCTGTCTATCTGTCTGTATATCACTGAGTGTGTGCGTGTGTGCGTTTATCTATCAATGTGCTCTATGTTGTAACTGGTTCATATACAAGTTTAGTACACTCTCACATAAACACCAGCTCACGCGTGCACGCATATGAGTGCATGCACCAGAACATACACAAACACCTACATGTGCACTCATTGACTCATTTACGCACTCACTCACTCACTAACTCACTCACTCACTCACCCACTCACTCACTCACACACTCACACATACCTAAACATACTTACACTGCTCATTCATGATAAGGGCGCTTATAAAATTATTATTATTAATATAATTTTATTCCTAAACATAAATATTTTAATTTTATTCTGATTATTTATTATTCTTGGATCCTCAAAAATTTATCTATCTGCTTTGTACTTTTTTCCTTCTTCCTTCCTTTCTTCTCATATTTTGTGTAACGCTAATACTTTGAAATTGGCTCGAAAATTTTCACTATCTATTGAAAATTGAACCTGAAAACATATTTATCATTCTTTTTATTTTATTCTAATCATATCAGATATATGTTTATATGTTATTATTACTGAGGTCAGATTTGTTTTGTAGCAAAAATTACAAGAATACACAATTACAGAGAGAAAGAGAGAGAGAGACAGACAGAGACTACATTCCAGTGTAAGTTTACCGGTTTTTGAGCGTTTGGCTGTATAAGCTGCACAGTCTGAAGTGAAATCTTTGACTGAACTATCTTATTATGATAAGAGGTATTCAGATCACATTGAATCACAATTTTTTCCTACAGTTTACCTATTGAAGTCGAAATCTTTTCCGGGAGTAGATTAAATCAACCGAAATGGTTAGTCCCTGCTGATATGTCAGCTCCTTAAGGGGATGCCTTGGTGATATCTGAGGATTGACACTGAGTCCGGGAGTGGAAATTTCAACAGCGGCTGACAGCTGTTGAGCACAAGCGTAGTGGCAGTAGAGCCACAGAAATTAAACAAATGGTAGCAGAAAGGGGAAAATTTGCAGTGTCAAGTAGCGGCATTATGAATAAGTTCCAAGAAAGACCGGTTCTCTGGATGCAGCAAAGTAGGACACTGGTGGAAACACTGCTCAGAAAAAAGGAAAAAGAAAACCTTTCAGTCAGTCTTATTTGTGTTTTTCTCTTCTATCTCACTAGAAGTAGTTGCAGCTATTGAGAAAGCAGCCATGTATTCTAAACTGTGAGTTAATGGCCGAGAAGTAGGATGATTAATAGACACAAGGGAGGTAATCTCACTAATAAATACGAATCTATTTTAGATGGTCGGACAGTGTTCATCGATAGTTCAAATGGTAGGTGAACATATGTTAAGCGATACTGGTATGTCAAACTGTAGCGCTTTTATTAGAAGTCGCGAAGTAACGTTCTTGTTTATTATTGTGTTCCAGTTACGGCAAACAGTACTTGGCGCTGATTTTTTGCGAGAGGTCGGTGTGATAATCAGCACGAAGGAGAGGGCAGTATTTACGAAGTACGGACTTATCGGCATGTATAAGAAAATTGCGATAACAGGTATTAAGGAGTTGAACGCACAGTGTTAGTCAAGGAATACGATCACCTTTTCACTGGAGATGTGGACTCCTACGGTTCTTGTGATAAGGTGATGCATTGAATCCCACTGAGCAGTCGGCAAATTGCATCATTCAAAATATGAAGACTCCCATGTCATCTAGAAAGCAAGGTCGAGAGACAAATGAAGGAGATGTTACAGCATGAGATTACCGAAGCTGACAGCCCAAATAACTCTCCAGTTCTTTAAGGGAAGAAAATGGGAAGTACAGACTGTGCATTGATTTCCGACAGCTAAGCAGCCATGTATGTATGTGTCGGTGGCACAGCGGTTAAGATGCTCCTGACCATGCACATGGTCCGAGATTCGATCTCAGCTTATCGCACTCATTTACCTTGCTAAGGCAAAAATAAAGCTGGCAAAGAGGAAAGGTTGGGAATGAGGCTAGCAGCCCCATCCTGTAAAAATAAACACTGCTACAGAGACTCCAAGCCTCTAGCTTGAAGCTTCATGTTCCACTGAAGATGTGAAAGAATAAAAAAATAGCATGGCAGAGCTGAGACCATGTGCCATGCCAACTGTATAAGAGACCCTGGTTGGTCTACATAGCATGAAGTCATTTACAGTGCTCAACCTCCGATCAGGATATTGGTAGATAGCGATAAAACAGAGTGACAGAGATAAGACATCGTTCATCGTGGGACAGAAGCAGTATCGGTTTAAACGCATGCCATTTGAACTAGCAAGTGCACCGTTTACCTTCAGACGACTGACGACACTGTTACTTAGAAACTTGAAGAATGTGGAGGTATACGGTAATGATATTGTCAACTGCGGTCAAAATGAAAGCTACCATGTAAACCATGTGGAAGCCATGTTAAAATGCATTGAAGAGTTCTGAATGCTCATCAACGAAATCAAATCTCACATAACCAAACGAATTAAAAAAAACAATTCCAACAGTTGGTGTGAACACTAGCAGTCATTTTGCTCGAAATATTACCAATAACAAAACTTATCATTATGTGCAAATCACTAAAATATAATCATACTTTGTTGGAGTATTAAGTTGTTGGGTCATGAAGTAGGCAACGGTAAGATGAAACTGCTACTGGAAAAAATCTTGTCGATGAAGACAATTACTGTCCCGAATTTCAGAAGGAAGCTAAGGCAGTTCCCAGGGATAGCAGCGTTTTGTAAGCACTTTGCGTGGAGTTTCGACGGGATAGCAACCATTTTGTACAAGCTACTAGATGAATTGAAATTACTTGGTCGGAGAATTCGCAGAAAATATTTGGCAGCATTAAACGGCTTTTGGACCGCCAGAAAATGATGTTAAACTATATGTACAGAGAAAACAGTTCACAGTGTGTTCAGATGCCAGTGACTGCGACAAAGTCGCAGTACTTAAATAGCACGGAGCAGTTGCCGACTACTCCAGTTGTATTTTAACACACACAAAACAGAAGTACTGAATGATAGATAATAAATATTTAGCGATAGTATGGGTGATAGACAAATGGAGACCATATTTACTTGGCCAACGGCTCCACATCGAAAGTGATCGCAAGCCGCTACAATTTCTGAGGATGGCGACAGAAGCACGTAGGAAATTGTCGCGGTAAAATTTGCGCCTACAGGAGTATAACTTCACGATGTAACACACCCCTGACAGTAAAAATGTTCTGGAAAACGTTTCATTTAAATGCGAGACTACGCTCAGTTACGGAAGATTGTTTACGGAGTGCAGGAATTGGAACGAAACCCAATAAGACTTGCTCGCATTCAGAAATCAAACCCTACTCTGAATACAGTCATACAGGTGGTCACTAACAGAATAGAAGTGAATCAACCTACAGCGAGTAAGGAACTGACTACGCTACTCATACAGAAGGATCGATTAAGAGTGGAAGCCTATGGAACACTGATTTGGCAAGCGAATGATGGTAGCTGGTCAATGGTAATATCTCAGTCACCAGTTAGCACGTACAGGAGTAGCCAGAACAACCGACCTCTTAAGACAAAGCTTGTACTAGCCAGGCATGAGAGAAGATGTGGCAAAATATATACTTGGATGTTCGCAGTGTCGGCTGATGAAAGGAATTCAGTGCATAATACCGCCTCTGCACTCAATTTCATTCACAGCAGTAGGTGACTTATTATCCATATATACGATGCGTTCGTTTCCGCAGACGCCCAGTGGCAATCATTACCTCTTGGTGAATGACGAAGGTTTTTGACACATCTTTGCAGACCATCGTGTACCAAAGACGATACTGACAGATCAAGTTTGTTGCTTCGAAAATAAAGAATTTGCATCCCATTTGCAGCAGTCGGGTATCAAAAAGATCAGAACAACGCCATATCACCCACAAACGAACGGTTTGATAGAGAGAAATAACCGTACACTGGAGGAGTGATTGGTCTCGAGAGGAGGTAACTGGAAAACAGAGCTTCCATTGGTTCTACTTACACATCATGCACACCAAAGAAACATCAGAGAAGTCGCCATTTCAGCTGATATATAAGAGGAAATTATGACTACCAGTACACATCAAATTTGGTCCCTGCACCAGGAGCGCAATATGACGAGTCTGAGAACGCAACGGAAAGACTCCGTCAGGAATATGAAGCTCAAACAGAAGAAAGACCCCATGAAATCAGAACAGGGTGAGAAGATGCGATGCAGAACCTTTGTGGTTGGTGACCGAATAAGGTGTAGAGAAAGGAAGGACGTGGGTAGATGTGAGCTAGATTTATGGAAACTCCTACCGAAGTAGGAAGGACTTTACATTGTCACTGAATGACTTGGTCACGTTTATACCATCAAAAGGGGGAATTAAGCAGAAACGGGTTTACGTCAGCCAACTGTAGAAATCGATACATTGGGATAAGGAAGCCTGGAACAGGGTAAAATAGGAAGGGATAGAACTAAGAAGGTCGGGTCGTCTCCGTTAGAGACTACTGATAAGATTTACCAGTAGTGAATATGAATATAAAGAGATGTTCATCGGCATAAAACATACAATAGGAAGAGGATAGATTTTATGTCAGAGGAAGCAAATTGTATGGTGTTAGGGAGATACATGGCGGAGGTGAAAAGAACACTAACAAACACAATAAGAGGGCCGGAAGTAGCACAACACGGAAGATTTGTGTAATTGGTGCACTGGAGATAAGGTGCACATAATTTCGCTGTTTATATCATCTTCTGCTGTTACCGAATGGTTTGCAGTCTAAAATCATTTGTGATAATAAATATTGTCCAAGTGACGTTCACCCAGACATAATAATTACTTCATTGGTTGGAGGATTTCATCATGAGCTGACATCAGTTACAAAATAACTAGAAAACCTGAAAGTGCTAGACAGATGTTTCGTCCTAATTTGGAACTCTTCACG